AAAGATTGAAGAATTTTTTAAGAAAGTTATAAGAGATTGTAGCAGATGTGGTAGCATGTAGATCAACGCGCCTTAGCATACGACGACAGCCTAATGGAGGGATGTTTTTAAATTCAATGTTACATGCATTTTCTGTTTCTTGGCATTTTCTGTTTTCTTCAAATATGCAGAAGTTGTATAGGCAGTTACTCATAATTAACAGGCGCATAACACAGATGAGAAAACCAAATTAGCCCATTCAAACGATTTTATTGAAATTGGAATGGGAAAAACAACAACCTAGCAGCATGTTCACCCAGTTTTCGCGGTACCCTACATGCTAAATGTATGTGTTCTTAGCTTCCTCATCGGTATCGACTTTAAGAAGCCAACATCGATTACTCAGGCATACCTGACTGCGTCATGAGATTTTAAACGCCGGCACAAAGAAGTGTTTGAGGATATGTCAGCAAAGTAAAAGAAAAAAAGAAAGTCTAGCCGTGCATAATGTTTTATCTGTGGGTATGTGGCTTTCAGGTAGCAATTGCCATTCGTCATTTGAAAAATCGAACACGCTGAGCAGTCTTTTGAGATTCTTCATAGTACATGTCGCATGTAGTTTCTTCAGTCAGAATAGTGATCGAATTTGTGTAACTGAGTTGATTGTTGAAACTTTGATTGCTTAGGTCACCCACAACAGGTTTTAGTTAGCAGATCTTGTAAAGATAACAAACTGTTCATTACATCTTTGCGTAATTTTGCCATAAAATTATGTAATACTTTTTTAGGCTCCATAACTGAAATTGAGAAATTTCTTTACTAACATATGCTAGCATGTCTCTGAATAACTTCCAACAGTTATTATATTGAAACCACATTGTACATAAAGTGTAACTATCTACATGTAAATTAAAGTATTGAATCTATTTTAAAAATGCATTACAAATAAAAAATTCTGAGTACGGCTTCAAGTACATTTTACATTTTGTTTTTATCTAATTATTCTTAGCAAACGCCGTAACGTTGAAAGCAATTGCATTCATCAACGTTAGCAGGCTATCTGTAACAATTAGGCGCATGCCTATGCAACGCCGGCGTAGCAATGCACAATACCGGCGGTTTTTTCTGGTGGGCTAGTTATATGTAGACCTGAGCTGACGACCTACCCGAGGAGGGATCCACGTTCTAACTTTCTAGCAGTACAGAATAGCTCTGGCGTTTCGCAATAGCCTGATGCCTTGTCGTTACGTAGTTCTTCAGCCATTGGTCATGCATGTCAGTGGTATTCTGGCGTCCTTTCTTGCCAGATATTTCTGTCAACGCATGTCATATGCTTAGCAGAAACATATGTTGTGGATCACGAAGCACAGAAACTTTATTGTAGAAATGTGTGTTTATGCATGTGCAATGTAATTTCAAGTCTGCGAAAGCGTCCTTTTAATAGTGCCGAAGCATGTTTCCGATTTTTTTCATCGTGTGAGAGCACATGTTTGTAATTATAGGCCGCTTTTCAATTTTGCTTCGATTTCGTTATCGCTATGAAGGGTGAGTACATGTCAGTAAGTTCATACGCAGAATCTCAAGCAAGATGGGCTATTTTCAGGCGACAAAAAGCCATCTTTGTGTGTTCTGTCTGGCATTGAATAGCTAGAGTCGGCTGCTTTAAAAACACGCGAATCGTGGCGTTACCCTGGACCAACCGCTGTCACATAAGTAACACGCATTTGATGATTGCAAATAGCGGATACGTTTATCGATGAAATTTCTTTCGTTTACTATGTTCAGGATCCTGTTTAGGACTTTTTATAGGATAGTGTGTCCATCTAAAAGGCTCCTAGCACAGTAGCATTCCTTGTACATGCACTGAAAGCCATTGAATAAATTATGTATGTCCGCTCCAGATGGTCATTTTATAAATTCTTTCTGTAGGTGGTTGATCATTACTATTAGAGCAGGTTGTCTGAAAAAATACGAGAAAAAAATCATGGATTAATTAGGCATTTTTGTCTGAAATATTGGGTGCACTTTTACTATGCCTTCTACAACATTTTTTTAATGCTCTAAGATCAATTACAATCATCATTCCTTATCTTTAACTTGTAATATTGACTAATTAATACTCATAATATTGTACACGAGGCTCACACAATTCCAAAGAAATCGCCATCCTCAATGCAAGGGATCTTAGTGGCACAGTAGTACACAAATACCAACACGCGCTTGTAGGCGAATGGATGTGTGATTGTCGACTACTACTGACCAGCTATTTAGGCCCATGCTGACAGTAATTAGTTTCAACACGTTCCCCTTCAACCTGTAATATAATAACAAACATAACATGATTAAAATTAGCAGTAGGGTAATGTGACAAAACTAGTCTGCTGCTTTTGCCAGAAACGGTCCGTTCCGCGTCGTGATCTGCAGTTTGCAGATTGCGTGCGCTTTGACGCAGTGCACCCTGTCATCATATATTCGACACTGCACCTAGGCCTTACGCGGTGCATGTGGTACATTATTTTGTAGCTTATATGGCGGTGGGCACGAGTATATTAGTAGGCGCAATTATATGGCGGATTATATAATCATTACATATCCATTAATTCTATTATTAATTACATATACTTATAGTTATTTTGAACTTTATATAGCTGCGGCAATGATTTGCACGTGATTCCACCAAATTTTTCACACATTTGCGGAATAGCTGTTATATAAATGTAACAATTATGTGATTAATCGTAGCCGGAATCTGGCAGCGAAATGTTCTGGTTCGTATCTGGATCACTGTGTCGCGAATGAAATCACTATACGGGGTTTATGGTTTCTATCAGTTTGGTTCTATCTTTACAGTATCTTGAACAATTTGATTGGCTGATTGAATTGTACGATCGGCGATGTTGAATCGCGGCGCGGACAACACTAGGCGATTATCGGCGATTACATCGGGCGATGGAATCGCCCTTTAAATCGCCTAGATACGTGTCCACTTGCAATGCGCGCGCGAGTTCATCGATAGATCAAACGTTTTGATTTATCGCCCGGATATTTCATCGCTATGTGTGTCCGCGCCTGGCGATAACATCGCCGCGATTGCAGCAATTCATCAGCCAATCAGGAGTTATTCAATGATACTGTACTTGGTTCATACGTAATAAGGGCGATGTTTCATGTTTAGTATGTCATGTCCATGTAAATAGCGATGGCACCACGGCACGTACGCATGTGTACGTGCGCACGACGCACGCAGACATCAGCACGCACGTGTGTGACGTGGCACACGCACGCAACGCCAAGCAGCAGCAGCACTGTACGTGCCACACGCACTGTCACGCCACGTCCACGTGCACCATGCATGGCCAACGACGCACGACGTGTAGCCTTGCACACACACGACCACGTACGCACGCACGCACACATGCACACACGCACGCACGCACACATGCACACACGCACGCCACGCAACGGCACGAACGTGTTCGCTGCACACGCACGCAGTGCACGTAGCGCACGCACCATGCACGGCAGGGTGAAGCGTGCACACGGCACGCACGCACGTGTAAGCTCACACGCAGCGCACGCACGCACGCACGCACGCACGCCACGCACGTGTACCGTCACGACGCACGCAAGCACGCATGTTACGCACGATGTAAGTGGCACACGCACGCACGCACGGCACGAAACGCACGTGTACACACGCAAGCACGCATGTACGCACGTGTAAGTGCCAACACGCACGCACGCACGCACGAACGCACGTGACGCAACGAACGCCCTGTACTTGTACACACGCACGCCCACGCCGCACGCACGCACACACGCACGCATGCACGCTCGTTTAGCATACATACACAACGCCACGCAACGCATAAATGGGCACGCAGGTGTACGTGCACACGCACAGCACAGCACGTCTACGTGCACATGCATCGCACGGAACTTATTCACCGAGCGATTTAATCGCCGATTAATCGGCCTAGTGTGTTCAACACTCGACTCGCGCGATAGAATCGGGCGATTTTGTCGCCCGATTTTATCGCCCGATTTAATCGCCTAGTGTGTCCGGCCCTTAGGTACTCTACAACGGTGACATCATCTAATAAATTGTTACTACAGAACTTTCTACAAATTTCGAGTGCCTGAGAACTAGTTTTAGTACCTAGCTCCTGACACAATACGAAAAAGATAAATTTCTTCTGCAAATCATTTCGCTGGTCTGCCATCTTGCGTTGTTTTTATGTAACAAAAGCGCTTTCACCAAACCGCTGATCACGTGATTTAGGAAACCGATTTACCGGTTTCGCTTAGGTAAAAACGCCTCATAGGCCGGCGATACCCCAAATGATCCTACGTACTTGCCTATTATAGACGCCTACCCACAGTCTAAACCCATGCCTATACTACACTACATTAGATAATTAAATAAGTAAGTTAGAAAATATCGCTAACGGTAGAGTAAAAGATGTGAGGGATGCGGTATATAGACTTCGTAGAGTCGTTCAGATATGGTGGAAATTTAACGGTGGGAATCGAAAGCGAGATCAAGAAAAATAGTGGAACGAGAGATAGGATTAGTTCGCCATAGACACGATAAAAGATGATGCGTGGCGGAAGAACAGAGACTGAAAATAATTATTAAGATATGAGGATTGGAGTGGACGATAGCGGAATTGTATGAAAGGAGACTTTTACAAGACTTGAGTTAGTCACAGACACATTCAAACGCTTATATAGCATAATATGGACGGTGACCATATGGTAGCAACTCAAAAAGTAACGAGAAAATAACATGCAAAATGTTGGTAGCTAATCAATGCGTATTCCTCAATGTTGCTCACGGACGACACCTGACTCACAACTTTATAATTACAGTTTATGAACAACTCGAAGCGACTCGTTTGTTTGTGACGGTGTCACGCCACACAGACGAAAAGGAACACAGCATTGAAATGCAGCTGCCTTTCATCGCAAAAGTCATGGAAAGGTAGATAGTGCTAATGAGAAAAAGTTAATGTTAAGGCTAATGTTAAGTCTTGCTTCGTTTCTGACAACAGGCCCATCAATAGTATGGTGCCATTATCAACGTACACGCAGGGCACGCAGGTTGCTCTAGACAAATTTTGCACGGGTTTCTAACGCTCGATTTGGGTACTTTTTCTAATCGGGATTTTGTTACCCCTTTGCTTGATCGATTACCAGAATTAATGTACGAGGATTGTGCGAGATCGGTCCCGGTGGAGTGGAGTACGTGGATTTGTAGTTTAGTCCCCGAGTTATCACAGTCCGTAATCTAATAAATTTCACTTAAAAGACATGGGGGTAGGTCTGGTTTAATGAAGCCACCTTTTCTCAGAAACATCGGCGGTCGATGATGATGCTAAGATGTTGGTTATCGTCGTTTACCTGGCACGAGGGGTCATTCTCTATACTATAAAGCCTGGATGAGCAAACATGATCCTGATATATTCATTACAATCATTTACTTGTATCTGGCAGATACGAGGGGTCATTCACTATTGTACCAGTGTTTGTCGGATATCTGAATCTAGCGCGTCAGCAGAAGTACGGGGAGATCTTTGCTCCCTACCTTGCCAATCCTGAAAACCTGTTTGTCATCTCGTCAGATTTCTGCCACTGGGGTGAGTGCAGTGACAGTATAGTGCGGTATCATTTGTTCCGCATTTTATTATAGACACTATTAGTTGTTAATAAATAACTAGTAAAATCAGAGTGACATAAAGCATAGCGTAATTCAGGCACATACAACTATATGTTTAACAGGCAGGAGATTCGGATATACTCCCTATAACGAGTCCCGTGGAGAGATCTACCAGTTCATTGAGCATCTTGACAGAATGGTGAGAATTTACCCTTACTGAGAAATTTGGTAGCAAATATCTGTATAGTGTTAGAGAAACGTTATTATGTTAATATATACCATTGCTACGGTTAATGATGAAAGTAATATACTATGTTATGTACGTGCTTGTGTTCTGGAGTAGTAAATGTGTTATTATTATAAGAACAACGCAGAAACACTTGTGTTTAATCTATGTCTACAGGGAATGGATTTGATAGAGAAACTCGATCCAGCTGCCTTTGACAACTACCTAAAAACCTATAAAAACACCATATGTGGGCGAATCCCTATTGGAATTTTACTCAGCGTAAGTGTCAATACTTGTTTCAGTTTGAAAAATATGTGCCTCAATACGACCTACCCATGTCTGTTGGCCCTCCCAATCGCCTTGACAGATTGTAAAATCCTCATAGATACTTTTCAAATGCTGCCTGTACACCTACGCATGCTCTCACGCATGCCTATAGCTAGTATATAGACGAAAGTGGACGGAGGTGTCAATTCCCAGTTTCCAATTCCAGTTAATTAAAATCGATATTTCGATTTCACGTATCTCGGTTAACTTCTCTAACTCGGCCTCTGATTTCCCAAAAAAAATTATGTAGTATCTCTCGGTTCCCAGATAAGTAAAATGATCAAATACGGCGTCCCGAAAATAACTGTTCCTCCCTGAATTTATGAGTGTATAATCACATTTCCTATCTCTCTAGTAGTTCGAGGCAGCTGTGAAGTTAAAAGTCTATACGGGCTGTGGAATACAAGACGGTATCATTGAGCCGTCTCTCTGATCACGCTTCATTTAGGCCATTATATTCTTAAACTGCGATATAAGCAGTCGTTCCTGTACATCTTTTACGTCGCGTTTACGCAGGCCGTCAATACGCTGCGTCGTAACAACGATAACGAACAGAAGCCGACGCTGAGATTCCTCAAGTACGCGCAGGATCGGCAGTGCACCAGCTTGAATGATTCATCTGTCAGCTTCGCCTGCGGAGCTCTCACCATGCAGTAGTCGCTATACAACCGCAGCAGTGGCTTCTGTTCTCAAACAACGCGCCGCGTGCATTAATTTCTAGGCTCTTTTGAATTAAAGTTGGAGTATCGTTATATACCCTACAGTCTTCGGATACTAAATACTAACTTTTTTAGTTCACTGTATTTTGGTATGTCCCTTAAAGAGGTTTGGAGAAGGCCCACCAGTACACACTGCAAAAGAGTTGAACTCATTTCTGTACGTTACTGACCTCTCGTCGGATGTTAATGACATCGGATGAATTTCTTTTGTAGAGCACACAGACGAGCATGTCGGTCGAGACTTTTGTCCACAATGATGCCATAGAGGTTTCACTGTAGGAAGCAGTTCTATAGGATATTATCATTTTGTATTGCTTTATTTGTGTAAGAACCCACGGGAAGCCTCCACGTAGGCCCTATCTCCCCGCTATGTCGAATGCGAGCGCGATGTGTGGATACCTTCGTGCAAAATACGCTACAATTCACACTACCTTTCAAGTATGATGGTATCAGGTAACCTGACCAAATTGCGAGACTAACGTTAATACGCATTTTAATGTATTACCGTTTCTTGGATCTAGGTATCAGGTATGGATGTGGCTCTTATCCATTTTTAATGATACGGTACATCACTGAATGTACTGCGTGATATATTCTCTAAAAAAATATAAGGTATAAATATGTAAGGTTATGTGATATAAAGATTTCTGTACGTGAAACGACATCACGATGAGAGAGACGCATCTTGTGGTGAGAGAAACATTTCCTTGAGCATTGTAATCGTTTTGCAATAATACATATCATAAACAATCGATTGTAATTTGACAGCGCTTACAGGTGAACTATTACATTGTTGGATGCACATGTTGTGAGTAATAATTTTGGTTGCTACAGACATTTATCGCCTGTGCTAAAATAGGTGACGGGTAGATGTTCATCATTACGCTCGGGTCTGAGATCTGCAATGTTGTCGCGCTCTATACACCTAAAGATTTCCCACTATGCTATAATGTGCATTTATTTTTGCCGCATTCCATTTTGCGCAGGTCGTATACTAAAGTCTGATCACTTGTAAGGTGTATACATACTCATTGTATCTTTATCGATCGAAGTGATCGATCGAGTGGGATCGAATATTTACGTGTAGCGGGTACCCGTGTAACCGGGCTTTCCCGTTGAATACCGCACACGCTACGGTCCGATTTTATCCGTGCGGTTCTTACCGCAAGATATCAAACCAGCTTGGTATGCTCCGGTCACGGAAATTCGTACGGGAAAAACCGTAACGTGTGCGCCAGGCTTTATGTGTAGATAATAGTAACTGCCGTGATCACATAACGGTCATTCGCTAAACGGTGACCGTTTAAATGGTTTTTTTAATTTACCTGTACATTTCTGCCTTTGAAGTGAAGATTTTGGCGAGTAAGGCAGTGAATTGCCCAAGTTTATTTTCGTTGTTGCTCAGTTTAGTTTAAATGTGATTTATTTATGCTACATATTGGTATTTACTGTTCAATATAATAATACAGATATCTAAATATCTGATTTAAAAAATACCTGTGTGTTATAGCCAATACTTTTGCTTGTATTGTGCTGCTTTTATAAATGATGAAAACTAAATGACCAATGCCTTTGTTCTATAAACATAATTATTTACATATACAATACATAATGTTATGGATAGACCAGTAAATATCATAGAGATGCAAACAAGTGACAATCATTACTTTGAATGCGATTGATCATAGCTAGAATATTTACCATGATAACCTTAATTCATTCATAGATAATATTCACAAAAATTACACGATTTATAAACACATTTGAAATCCCAGATTCCATAAATGAAGTTTCCCCCAGCAAGCTAATGTAGATACACCAGCCCCCATCAGTGTAAATTGACTGAAAACTACATAGCCAAGTCACTTACACTATTGCAAACATTTGAATTTAAGTTTGCTACTTGTTGCTCACAAGAGGGGTGTAATGCATAAAAACAGAATTTGCTTTTTCAATGAAATGTTACCATGCCCTAGAACTGGCAACTACAAGGTATATTATAATGACTATTAATTTTCTTATTACTATGAAAACAAACATGAGATATTTAGATTATGTCATAACATGTTGTACTGAATTAGTTAGTTGCTGAATTTATTATATCTGTACACATCAGTGTACGATTGCAAAAATAATTTCATTCTTACCAGCCTATATAAATTTATATAGCAATAACTTGTTTTGCTATACCTACAAATGTGGGGCTTACAGTACTCCTCTCCAAAAGGATCCACTGTGTTCTAAAAATGAACCCAGCAGTCAAAACGTTGTTTAAGAACCAGTATGGCAAACAGCTGGCAAATATAGGGCCAATGCCTATAAAGAGACCCAATACAGGGGCAATCCCAGCTCTCTGAGAGCTAAACTTCCCCATTACAGATGAAAGTCATTGTCACCATCACCTGGGCTCTAACATTCAGTTGCCTAGCAACAGATTCATCCAAGGCAAGCAGCTCACATGCTAATGATTTATCTCTATCACTGTCACGTTGCAACATGGTGCTGCAAAACACAGCATCATTGGTTCTATACTCCTGTGTAGAGAGACAGAAAGTAGATGTATAGCAGCAGCACTGGATACAACAGTAGCAGCCTCTTGTGTTGAAGTTCAGCACCACAGAGAAGTGAGCCAGCACTGTAGGATGCCCATGTCACGCCCACAATCTAAACAAACAAACGAAAAACATCAAGTTCACTGACGTACCTCCCAAATTAAATACAATGTACACCTGCGATATTGGCAGGGGTGCTGCCAGAGATGGTAAAGATTAGCAAATTTAATCCCCTAACATCAAGTAGCAGTAGCAGCTATAGCTCTGTAGCAAGCTTTCTATCCTTGAGTTTACAATATGCAACATGCATAGCAGGATATCTTTACATATACACTTCTAAGGCGTCCGAATTCATAGAAGAGACATTATATTTAGTTTACTGTACTCACAGGTGCATTCTTACCTTAAGCAACATGGCAATGATGGCATAACTTGCCACGAATGGCAGCAGTGATGCTATGATAACAAGTGGTAATAAAGAGTAACCTATCACCCCAAGACATTGAGAATAGTTGACCTGCAAATAATAAACACCTCTGTAACTAGCAATATGCATAACTGAAGTTTTTACATGTCAAATAATTTAAAGATGATTAAGTTTCCACATTTCCACCAATTTCAATCAATTGCCATGTGTTATGGATCAATCATATTAAAAATAAAATAAATAAAAATGATTTAAGAAGGAATAGCATAGACAGTGTCAGTACTTACTTCACCGCCAAGAACTCTTGCCAGGAGAAATATAATGATAGAGCCAAATACCCAGATTGTGATGATCCAAGAAACAACCTGAAACATTATTTAACATCTCAATATGATGACACTTGATTAGAATAAAAAAGCTAGCACCTGCTTCCACATGCAGTTTTACACAATTTCATCACAAAATACCTCAGAGTGATTGGCAATTTAAATATGCCCAGCATCCTAATTATACACATACTCAAATGTGTTTGTCTTAGAGATAACCCATATTAGTGAGATAATTAACACATCTACTATCACAGCTATGTTTGTAACGTGTACCAAAGAAAATATATACTTGAGTGTGTGCATGCATATATATACAGAGACTCCAACTCTCCTGATTTGGGCGGGAGATCTCCTGTTTTGGGGCCATTTTCCCAAAATCTCCCGTTCACCCGCATAAGTTTTGTTTTCTCCCGCCAAAATAAAAATTTAAAAATGTGTTAAATAAAGTGATAAATAAAAAATAAAGTGACAGAATTAAGGTCAGCAATATCTACAGATGCTATTTCACTTTGTTTCTTTAATAAAATGAATCAAACAAATGTGTAAAAAATAGCTTCTTTCAATAGTAAAAAAACCCTTAAAATCCAGGAGCATCCCTAAGGCGGGCCCCTGGACCCCACCCGTAATCGGCATACGCGATCCACGCGCTCAGAGTGTGGTCTCCAGTTTGCCAAGGGGTCCAGGCTGGAGAATCTCCAGTTTAGGTGATGCTTAGGGTTAGAGCCTCTTGTATATATATATATATATATATATATATATATATTATATATATTATATATATATACTATACGAGTAATAAATACTAGATTGTACAACGGGACGATGGGAAAATAGTGCTATTTCACGGCAATATTATTCTACTTTGTATGGCGGTTCTAGACTAAGTTCATGATATTGCGTTAAGCAGCATTCTTTGCTCTCTAAAATAAGACCAACCGCTTGTCTCTACGATACTCCTAGGCCAAGATATTGGAGCATAATCATGCCTCCCACAGGCTTCACCCCGCCTTGCATCCACAATATTCACTATCCTTCTCGCCTTTTGCGGGTCTGGCTATCGTTTTCCGTCGCCGCTCGGGCGCTGATAATTGATGTCACATGCCAAATTTGGTACTCTTACTACACCATATAGTAACTGAGCTGCGTTGTATGAGACTTAATTTAGAAATCATTGCCGGCTCCATCATGACGGGCATTAACCATGCTAGGAAAGATAATGGGAGATAAGGGTATAGGCAATGCCCCTGAAAGTCACCGATGATAACCGAAACGCCGTTCATTCATAAAGTTATCGCGGAAAAAACCGAACTCTCACGAAGCGATTTCCTAACCGCAAAAGGCGAGAAGGATAGTGAATATTGTGGATGCGAGGCGCCGTAAGGCGCTGTGGGAGGGGAAGTTTACGAGCCAATATCTCAGCCTAGGAGTATCGTATTGACAAGCGGTTGTATTGTTTTAGAGAGCAAGAATTCTGCTTAATGCAATACCATAAAATTATTCTAGACTCGCAGGCAAAGTAGAATAATATTGCCGTAAAATAGCACTATTTTCCCGTTTTCCCGTTGTACACTCTAGGTATCTATTAGCTCTTGATATATATATATATTATATATATATATATATATATATATATATATATATATATATATATATATATATAGGAATATAATAATATACTTAGTACGTACTCTGAACTGTCCATAGAGAGACACAAGAGAGTAGAGCAGTACAACAAGCAACGGGCCCAAAAGTCTGACTGTCTTTCACAACCTGGTGCTTGAAGCCAGCGAATGAAAAGGAATCAGAACACAGCGCAGCTTGTAGAATATCTCCTTCAAATCGATGTCCAGCTCCTCTCTGCAAATAAATAAGCATTTCACAATTAATCAACTGTTGATGATATACGCTCACTTTCCCCTCAACCGGTTCTTGTGTGGTTTCCGGAGCAAGACACATTTACAGTAAAGTGCATGTTAATCACTTAGTAATTTATAGTGCAGGGCCATTTGTTCAGTCAGAACGTAAATGTGACATCATTGTATATATAGTATTTGTAACATTTCTTGTAATAATTCCTCTAAAATTAATCCTGATAAAATCTTGCAAATATATTAACGAATGTGCTGATGATGAGTTACATAATTAGCAGCGGCTCACAGTATTAATGGGTTACAATAAATGATTCCTGATCTGATAAATTCTCAGATTAACAAATTTGACAAACTTGATTATCACATGTCCGTTAACTATAGCAGCTGCTCACAGCAATGGATTTTCTTATCATCTATCGTGTCATCGACCTCCATGAGCCAGCCAAAGCCTCTTGTCTGCAGAATGACGTCGTCCTCCTGTAGCGTGAATCAGACTGTCTCTTGTGCGAGCTGTACATTCCAGTTGCCATCGATCAGCCACATCTGTAGTTTTGACAGGTACACATTGAAAGTTTCAGATTCTTTACGTATGTGTTATAACTACTTAGATGCGCAAAAACTAATTTGTTCCAAACTAGGATTGTGCCTTAACTTGTGATCTGTGCCAAAATGAAATTACTGTTATACTGATCCCTACAGGCTACAGCTAGGCTACAGCACGTCACGAACCAATATGTTAGAGCAATCAGTGCCAGTGGCAGTCATGCTCAGGAATATCTTGCGGCAGTTAATGAACGCGGGCTATAGTACTAGAGCTAGCTCAGGAACAGATTAATGCAGTTAATGAATTATTAGGAAGCTAGCTAGCTCTAGTACTATACCCCGCATACATTAACTGCCGCTGGCACTGCAACGGCCAGCGGCAACTGTACGCGGGCTATAGTACTAGAGCTATTAGACTAATTATTAGTACTAGTAGTAGTAGTACTACTAGTAGTTCTACAGTATCCCTACAAGTACTACTAGTAGGAAGCTTGACCCCGAGTACCGACCAGTATTCAATTCGATTCAGTCTATCAATGTATGACCGTTTCTAGAAACTAGCCAACCCTGAGTCAAAGCCTGACTCCTGGGTCAGGGGAGTAAGGAGTCAGCCACATTTTATCAGGAGCGTATAATGACCAAGGAGTAAGACAACGATTTGGTACTGATTTCACTACTTTTTGTCGTACGAGTTCGATGTGAATTATAATTGTTGTGAATGTTTGTCATTATACGCTCCTGATATTATACTTATACTTATAGTTATAGGCCTAATATTGGCCTAATACGGGCTTAGCCCGACCAGGCTGTGTGACTAACGTCAATACACACGTCTTCTAACCCTAGCAAAGACCGTTTGGCGTTTCTTGGAGCTATTACTATTAGTATTAGTAATAATAGTATTTAGTATTACTAGTAGTAGTACAAGTAGCCAAGGCCGGCCAGCATGACGAAAATCGCCTCATGATATAACTGCATATACTTTTTCTGTACCGGGAGAAAGCGGTGTGGAAACAAATGTAAACTCGTCCGGAGGAGGTCCATTGTTTCTCACATCAGATGGAACAAATTCTGGATGCATGGCTGATAGTGACACATACAGTACACACACAGATTACAGATTACTGCCACATAGACATCGCCATGTTACAAACGAGAATTTTCACTCATTTCCCTACCACCAGGTAGCGGGATGTTCTTCTGTCAACAATCGCTCTTAGCTGCGCACCTTACCTTGCACCGGTTTTGGATTTAGGAGGTAAAGAGACGTGTTACCCATCTATACTCACACGGAACCTTTGCTGATTCTTGTTGCTGAAAACTCAATCACTCGATCACTCGTTGACGGTGTCTCACTCACTGAGGTCTCCCGTTACATTACTAGCATGTAAGAGCTCCAAGTTAAGAGACCATGCCGAATAAGTAAAGAGACAAAGTTGATCGACAATTCCTCGTTTCCAGTGTTCGTATTCTTAAGATAGATTACAGTCGAGGTACTCACCACTCAACTCGTCACTGATCATAACTACTGTCCTGAGTAGTACTACTACTAGTAGTACTAGTAGTACTAGTACAGTAGTAGTACTAGTATACAGTAACATGGATGTTAAAGATTTACAACTACTGAGTTTCTGTGTTGGGAAACTTACTAATTCGGGAGAACCTAAACTGGACCAAGAAGTCATGACAAAAATAAAGAAAACATGCAGGATGTCAGACGACAACGTAAAACATACGTTTCACTTACTTTGGACTGAGCTTGAGAAACCACATTCAGGTACACTACTTGTGTCATATACTGATATAGGCCTAGTTGTCATATTGCGACTTGTGATAATGTTCAGGTTACGCATGTGAGAATTTATAAAACATAAGACAAGTTGTTGTAACATGCCGCATTACTGGCAATGCCAATACTGCAATGGAAGTCAACGTGTATTTATCGCCACGATTTGTAAATCATGTCGTCAAAGTTGTCATTCCAGTGGCAGTAGTTGAACTCGATAGCACATGTGCAATAATGATACACTGATGTGTGTACGGGATAACTTCTATGCGATATATATATATATATATATGCACAGAGTATGATTAACAGTTTTGTTGTGTGGTCAGAAAATCACTTTACTATATACACATAAATAATTATGAATCCTATTACATGGATCATTTAAAAAAATGTATTTTGTTTGTGCAGAAATGCGACTGTCAGCCTTCCAAATCGTGGATGAGTTGTTCAACAGGTCGCATGCATTCCGAGAGCTGGTGATTGAGGATTTCCAATTCTTTCTTGAGCAATGTGCGGGGACTGACTTTGAGAATCCCTTACCAGCCCCAAAGGCAGCTGCCATGACCCTGCGGATGCGGTGCCTGACAGCCGTCCACCAGGTATGAAATGTCACTACACTTTTCAATCTTCACTTGTATGTACTCCCACAAGATGTTACATCACACCTACCTGTATACATGTGTAGACCATCTCTCGCCACATGCACGCGTTGCAGCGATTGGCTACACACATAGGCTCGATCTTCTGGAATTGAATGTAAGGATGTCGGTGTAATTGCATTTGATGTTATGCGCCGTGATCTATCATAGTGTGGGATGCTGAACTGTTGTTATGTGCTTGAGAGAAATGTGTAGCTAGAGTTGCAGAGACAGGTTTGCCACCTCACTATTATTGGCAGACTTATTATTTCTAGCTATGTTGTGTCTATCATACAGCTGCCTACATTGATCTGAAGTCAAATCTACTATTAAGGTGCACAGGTGCTCTTGAGGTTTCCTGCCTTTGATTGACGTAGTTCTCAAGAACCCTGGATTTAAAAAAAAATTCATTAATTCATTAATTTCATTAATCAGATATGACCTTGATTATAAAAACTTGTAGAGTATAGTGGCTACTGTTCCAGCAAAGCCATATTCTGTTATCACAGTGATAGTTGCTGTGTCAAATAGATGTTTCCCTTTGCCTCCAGCTTAATACGAGTGCCTTTGTTATACATTATACAGTGGAATGAGAAGTATGGTGAAGCTTACAAGAAACTCCAGTTGGGATACAACTATCTCAAAGAATGCAAAGGTATTAACTTCACAGACATGCACAGCCAGAGCATAGGTGAACAACAACGGGAGAATGAGCGACGAGCCAGACAAGAGAACATGCTTCGGGACAAGTTAAAAGTTATTTCTCAGCAAATGACTGACCTAATTCCAGAAATACAGGTATTGTCCTTTAGGCCAGAACAGCTTAATTGTATGGGAAAATATTAGGAGAAAACATATGTTATTAGAATAAAATAATAAAGCTATATAGCAATGCAATGTGGTGACATGTGAGGCAACTTAAAATATTCATTGGTTTGTTATGAAGGCTATAGTTAGGAAAACTCAGTATGTAGACTTGACACTTTCTGATTGCTATCTCCTGTGGGTAGTGTTGGGTGGGTTGGGAGTTGAAAATTTACTTTGAATTCTTGCATATCTGTTCATTTGCGCAGAGCTGCTTGACACAGATGGACAGCTGCTTTAGCTTGCTTTTGCCACACATGGGTGAAAACCTGTATGGAGGACATGTACCACTTCCTGGGCCATCGGGACTGAATAAAGACTCTTGTGATCTGGAGCTGCAAAAGTGTTGCAATGAAGAAAGTCTAGAACTTCAACAGAGTCGACCTGATGATTCAGCGGCAGCGGATACAGTTCCAGCCGTGGCTGGAAAAGATGGTCACAGCAATAAAGCTAATACAGATGGCGCCACGGATAGAGAACTTGATGACATGGAGGAATCAGAAGAGAGAGAAGACCTGCTGAGACACCATGGCATGCAGAGCAAATATAGCATTGACATTCAGGTGCAGTCCGAGTTGCCATGGATTCACGAAACAATCGACAACACAGACATAATCAATACTGCTGATGAGCTGCTCAAGATGCTGAATACTAAACTGCAACCAGCCGTAGCTGAGTGGATTACGGTAAAGATTGATTCTCTTATTTTTGGCTTGATTTTTTAATTAAATGTGAAAAAAATCCACGTGTATCATATCTAGATAAATCAAGTGATACAGTGAGGCTTGTAGATGAATTTGAGCAGAGCTTAATGTCATGATATCACCTTACTGTCTCTTCTCATAGGTTATCACAAAGACTGGGGAGAACATGGATATGTTGAAGAAAGCGATTGACGTCAAACAGGCAATTGAGGCTGCACGAAAGAAATATGCAGAGCTACGAATTCTTCGCGTGAAGCCCGGGGAAGAAAATGGAGAAGACAGTGATGACGATGATGATGGTGATTTTGAAGAGGTAAAGGAGAAGGAAGGTTATGAAGCAGACATTCCAGAGCACCTAAGGTAAACCTCTTCAAATTGCAGTTAATCGCTTCTTAACGTCTACATGTAGCTTGTATAACACACTGGCTGCAGGACGATCAAGACCTCACACTGCACGCACGTGCAGTACAGTACACTTGTATTGTATATGTGACTGTATATGAGGTGAACTTAAAGCTGCAGCGAGAGCTTTAACATACAGTATTCATTGACATACTCTTTAGCTGTCGATAGGTGTACATTGTAAATCTGTGTATTTTTTGTATTTCAACAGAGACGAGATTGAATTCAAGCCGAAAGAGCCGACACAGGTGATGGAAGAAGTCTGGAAGCCTAGAATACATGTGGAGAACAGTGACATCGACCCTACAACGAGTACTGCTACCTTGCACAAACTATCTGCTAAATACAAGCTCGACCTCACCCAGGCAGGCAAACCAGCAACGCAGGAAATGTGTGAGGAAGTCGTCGGGCAGCATGTCGACGGTGCCAAGTCTCCACGCACCAAGCATCGCGAGGAGAACCTCGCGAGAGCGCCACATCTCTCGTTCGGCGTCGACCTCGTCGACTGGGACAACCCACTGCCGGCGGGCGCCGTCGTCAGCCGCCGACACGATCTCTGCCGTTTCTGGATCGCCGGCGAGGACGAGACGCACGTCTCGACGGAGCTGCTGTCGTCGATGCGACACCGCGCGATCCCGTTCGTCGGCGCGTTTGAGCCCGTGAAGCACGCGTGCCGCGCGCCGCTGCCGTCCGGCCGTCTGTGCACGCGCCGCGACCGCCGCATCTGCCCGTTCCACGGCCGCATCGTGCCGCGTGACGCCGCGGGCCGGCCGCGCGACGCCGAGGATCGCGCGCGCATCGAGCGCGAGGAGGAGCGACGACTCCACGCCGCGACGCCCGAGTGGCAGGACCCGGCGCTGCTGCGTGAGCTGGAGGCGGCGACGGGCATCGACCTGACCTTGACGGGGAGGGCGAAGGGCAAGGGCAAGGGGAAGGGGAAGAAGTCGAAGGAGACAAAGTTAACGAACGTGAGAGAGATAGCGAATACGCCCCGATCACGGCTTGAGCGTAAAGTGCTGAGCAGGTCGGCGATAAAGAAGGTCGCAAACGATTTAAACTCGCTCGAGTACAAGCGGTTCAGAGATAAATTCTCAAATCAATATGCCTATCAGTGAGGTGATGTATTGATTTATGGCAACGCGATATATGAGTGACAACTACCACGTTTTACATGAATTGGTATATATAATAGGAATATAATAATATACTTAGTACGTACTCTGAACTGTCCATAGAGAGACACAAGAGAGTAGAGCAGTACAACAAGCAACGGGCCCCAAAAGTCTGGACTGTCTTTCACAACCTGGTGCTTGAAGCCAGCGAATGGAAAAGGAATCAGAACACAGCGCAGCTTGTAGAATATCTCCTTCAAATCGATGTCCAGCTCCTCTCTGCAAATAAATAAGCATTTCACAATTAATCAACTGTTGATGATATACGCTCACTTTCCCCTCAACCGGGTTCTTGTGTGGTTTCCGGAGCAAGACACATTTACAGTAAAGTGCTTGTTAATCACTTAGTAATTTATAGTGCAGGGCCATGTTGTCAGTCAGAACGTAAATGTGACATCATTGTATATATAGTATTTGTAACATTTCTTGTAATAATTCCTCTAAAATTAATCCTGATAAAATCTTGCAAATATATTAACGAATGTGCTGATGATGAGTTACATAATTAGCAGCGGCTCACAGTATTAATGGGTTACAACAAATGATTCCTGATCTTGATAAATTCTCAGATTAACAAATTTGACAAACTTGATTATCACATGTCCGTTAACTATAGCAGCTGCTCACAGCAATGGATTTTCTTCATCATCTATCGTGTCATCGACCTCCATGAGCCAGCCAAAGCCTCTTGTCTGCAGGAATGACGTCGGTCCTCCCCTGTAGCGTGAATCAGACTGTCTCTTGTGCGAGCTGTACATTCCAGTTGCCATCGATCCAGCCACATCTGTAGTTTTGACAGGTACACATTGAAAGTTTCAGATTCTTTACGTATGTGTTATAACTACTTAGATGCGCAAAAACTAATTTGTTCCCAAACTAGGATTGTGCCTTAACTTGTGATCTGTGCCAAAATGAAATTACTGTCATACTGATCCCCTACAGGCTACAGCTAGGCTACAGCACGTCACGAACCAATATGTTAGAGCAATCCAGTGCCAGTGGCAGTCATGCTCAGGAATATCTTGCGGCAGTTAATGAACGCGGGCTATAGTACTAGAGCTAGCTCAGATATATAATATATATATATATATATGCACAGAGTATGATTACAGTTTTGTTGTGTGGTCAGAAAATCACTTTACTATATACACATAAATAATTATGTCCTATTAATGGATCATTTAAAAAATGTATTTTGTTTGTGCAGAAATGCGACTGTCAGCCTTCCAAATCGTGGATGAGTTGTTCAACAGGTCGCATGCATTCCGAGAGCTGGTGATTGAGGATTTCCAATTCTTTCTTGAGCAATGTGCGGGGACTGACTTGTGAGAATCCCTTACCAGCCCCAAAAGGAAGCTGCCATGACCCTGAGGATCCGGTGCCTGACAGCCGTCACCAGGTATGAAATGTCACTACACTTTTCAATCTTCACTTGTATGTACTCCCGCAAGTGTTCCATCACCACTAGCTGTATACCTGTGTAGACCATCTCTCGCCACATGCACGCGTTGCAAGCGATTGGCTACACACATAGGCTCGATCTTCTGGAACTGAATGTAAGGATGTCGTGTAATTGCATTTGATGTTATGCCGGCCGTGATCTATCATAGTGTGGGATGCTGAACGGTTTTATTGTGTAATAGAGAAGTGTAGTAGAGTTGAGAGACAGTGTTGCCACCTCACTATTATTGGCGACTTATTATGTCTAGCTATGTTGTGTCTATCATACAGCTGCCACATTGATCTGACGTCAAATCTACTATTAGGTGCACAGGTGCTCTTGAGGTTCCTGCCTTTGATTGACGTAGTTCTCAGAATCCTGGATTTAAAAAAAAAATTCATTATATCTATAATATACAGATATGACGTTGATTATAAAAACTTGTAGAGTATAGTGGCTACTGTTAAAAGAATATCAGTTATCACAGTGATAGTTCTGTGTCAAATAGATGTTTCCTTTGCCTCCAGCTTAATATGAGTGCCTTTGTTATACATTATACAGTGGAATGAATATGGTGAAGCTTAACAAAAAACTCCAGTTGGATACAACTAATCTCAAAGAATGCAAAGGTATTAACTTCACAGACATGCACAGCCAGAGCATAGGTGAACAACAAACGGGAGATGAGCGACGACGCCAGACAGAGAACATGCTTCGGGACAAGTTAAAAGTTATTTCTCAACAAATGACTGACCTAATTCACAGATACAGGTATTGTCCTTTAGGCAAGAACGCTTAATTGTATGGGAAAATATTAGGAGAAACATATGTTATTAGAATAAAATAATAAAGCTATATAGCAATGCAATGTGGTGACATGTGAGGCAACTTAAAATATTCATTGGTTTTGTGATGAAGGCTATAGTTAGGAAAACTCAGTATGTAGACTTGACACTTTCTGATTGCTATCTCCTGTGGGTAGTGTTGGGTGGGTGGGGAGTTGAAAATTACTTTGAATTCTGCATATCTGTTCATTTGTGCAGAGCTGCTTGACACAGATGGACAGCGCTTTAGCTTGCTTTTGCCACACATGGGTGAAACATGTATGAGGACATGTACCACTTCCTGGGCCATCGGGACTGAATAAAGACTCTTGTGATCTGGAGCTGCAAAAGTGTTGCAATGAAGAAGTCTAGAACTTCAACAGAGTCGCCTGATGATTCAGCGGCAGCGGATACAGTTCCAGCCGTGGCTGAAAAGATGGTCATAGCAATAAAGCTAATACAGATGGCGCCCACGGATAGAGAACTTGATGACATGGAGGAATCAGAAGAGAGAGAAGACTGCTGAGACACCATGGCATGCAGAGCAAATATAGCATTGACATTCAGCGTGGGCAGTCCGAGTTGCCATGGGATTCACGAACAATCCGAACACAGACATAATCAATACTGCTGATGAGCTGCTCAAGATGCTGAATACTAAACTGCAACCAGCCGTAGCTGAGTGGATTACGGTAAAGATTGATTCCCTTATTGGTTCCCTTTGATTCCCTTTTGCTTGATTTTTTAATTAAATGTGAAAAAATCCCGTGTATATATCTAGATAATCTAAGTGATACAGTGAGGCTTGTAGATGAATTTGAGCAGAGGTTAATGTCATGATATCACCTTACTGTCTTCTTCTCATACGGTTATCACAAAGACTGGAGAACATGGATATGTTGAAGAAAGCGATTGACGTCAAACAGGCAATTGAGGCTGCACGAAAGAAATATGCAGAGCTACGAATTCTTCGCGTGAAGCCCGGGGAAGAAAATGGAGAAGACAGTGATGACGATGATGATGGTGATTTTGAAGAGGTAGAGAGAAGGAAGGTTATGAAGCAGACATTCGCGACCCCTAAGGTAAACCTCTTCAAATTGCAGTTAATCGCTTCTTAAGTCTACATGTAGCTTGTATAACACACTGGCTGCAGGACGATCAAGACCTCACACTGCACGCACGTGCAGTACAGTACACTTGTATTGTATATGTGACTGTATATGAGGTGAACTTAAAGCTGCAGCGAGAGCTTTAACATACAGTATTCATTGACATACTCTTTAGCTGTCGAATAGGTGTACATTGTAAATCTGTTGTATTTTTTGTATTTCAACAGAGACGAGATTGAATTCAAGCCGAAAGAGCCGACAGGTGACGGAAGAAGTCTGGAAGCCTAGAATACATGTGGAGAACAGTGCACTCGACCCTACAACGAGTACTGCTACACTTGCACAAATATTTAAATACACAGCTCGACCACCACAGGCAGGCAAACCGGCACGCAGGAAATGTGTGAGGAAGTCGTCGGGCAGCATGTCGACGGTGCCAAGTCTCCACGCACACAGCATCGGCGAGAGAACTTGCGATGAGCGCCACATCTCTCGTTCGGCGTCGACCTCGTCGACTGGGCAGCAACCCGCTGCCGGCGGGCGCGTCGTCAGCCGCCGACACGATCTTGCCGTTTCTGGATCGCGGCGAGGACGAGACGCACGTTCGAACGGAGCTGCTGTCGTCGATGCGACACGGCGCGATCCGTTCGTCGGCGCGTTTGAGCCCGTGAAGCACCGCGGCCGCGCGCCGCTGCGTCGCGGCCGTTGGCACGCGAGGAGGCATTGCCGTTACGAGCCGCATGTGCGTCGACGCGCCCGGCCGCGCGCGAGCGCGAGGATCGCGCGCGCATCGAGCGCGAGGAGGAGCGACGACTCCACGCCGCGACGCCCGAGTGGCAGGACACCGGCGCTGCTGCGTGAACTGGAGGGCGGGCACGGGCATCGACCTGACGCTTGGACGGAGGGCGAAGGGCAAGGGCAAGGGGAAGGGGAAGAAGTCGAAGGAGACAAAGTTAACGAACGTGAGAGAGATAGCGAATACGCCCCGATCACGGCTTGAGCGTAAAGTGCTGAGCAGTTCGGCGATAAAGAAGGTCGGGCAAACGATTTAAACTCGCTCGAGTACAAGCGGTTCAGAGATAAATTCTCAAATCAATATGCTATCAAGTGAGGTGATATATTGATTTATGGCAACGCGATATATGAGTGACAACTACCACGTTTTACATGAATTGGTAATTTAATTTAATAATCAATATATGAAGTATAATATAAGAAATAATATAAGAAATAATGAAGTATATTATACAACATATATATATATATATATATATATAGAACTAAAGAATGGGAAATTGAGTATACAAATTAATTTGGATTTATTGATCTGATTTTACAGAAATCTATGATGTCACATAACACTTGCAAAAAATGAAACTACAGAAATCTACTTGGACCATGTAATGAATGTATTGCAAGAGTGCACAAATGTATATAATCGCTAACAACTGAAAATAAATGTTTGGGAAGTTTTTATTCTAGTAATGCATTGTACCTGTCTATATCTGCAATTTATTGTTATTTTATTAACAGTTTGATTGATAAATCTTAATTATCATTGTTTGTTTAAAATTTAAGTTTAATTCTAGTGCATATGCGTACGCATGCGCTCATCACTATCTGCACACGCCTACAGGCTACAATATATATTATATTATATATATATATATATATATATACAACGCCAGTCCCTAGTGA